GTCCCATTTATGCATATTACGTGTCACTCTCCTAGGCACTTCAGGGATTCTTAAACTTGAGCTTTTAAGTGCCAAGGGCAGGAAATTTACAAAACAAAATACAAAAGGATAATAATTGTATGAAAAATACTTAACTGCATTAACTATAAAATATGCGTCTATATAATATTAAAATATCACTCTACTATCAAATTATCAGAGTCTTTTTAAGTTAACATTTATAGCTGCTGATGTTCAGCAACACAGAATTTTGGAAGCCCTTGAAAGTCAGTGCCCACAATGACCCCGCTAGATATTTTCATAGCCTCTATTTCATATTCAGGGAAATGGGTCTCCAAGAAGATAAATCCTCTGATTGTTTAAATTGTCCCACTCCCAGTCCCAAAGCCTCTTCATCCCTCAGGTATTGTCTCCTTCAGGAAGCCTCCAGGATATAGCACTGTAAGCTGGGCTTGCACACCCCATTAGGGATGAGCACCTACATCCCCATCTCTGAACTTGCACAGCATTTTACGTGCATTTGCTTGTAGATCTTTCTCCCCTAATAGACGGTAACCATCATGAAAGTATTGATTGCTCCAATTAATCTCTGTATATCCCCCTACCCTTTGCTCTCCCATACCAAGAACTGGGCCAGCCTCAAACATGTATTAAATCAAAGATGGGAGGATGGAGCCAGACCCAAACCTCTGCCTTTGTGACCCCAAAACCCAGGCTCCTGAGCCTTGTTGAATATTTTGAAGCTTCGCTTCTGATGAGCCTGGAAATACAGCCTCCAGGTCAAGCAAGCCAAGATTCTTCTCTTTTGCCTGCTATGTAAAATACACCCTATCTGGAAAAAGCTCGCTTCACCTTTCTCCGAAGTCCAGCAGTAAGCATCACATTCCCTCGGGAATGGGCATTCTCCAGGAAGTCCATCTGGTCTTTAATTGCCAGGCAACTAGCGGCTCTTTAGACACACCGGACTCAACTTGATTGGCACCTAACTCCTACTCTCTCCTGGTTTCTTGATACAGAGTCCAGCTCCCCTGATAAATGAACTCAAAAGGGACGCTTCCTTGGGCATTTTCGATGCTCCAGGCAGTCAGCTCTTTCACTTGCCTCATTGCATTTAACCTTAAACTAATTCTAAAGGTAGACTAGAGTCTCTATTTTCCAGCTGAGGAAATTGTGGTTCAGAGAGGCAGGAAACTTGACTCAAGGTCACCCAGAGAGTAAAGGTCAGAACTGGAGTTGGAACCAGGTCCGTCTGACCTTTAGCCACAAGGCTGCATGCTGGGCTGGCCCCCACCTGTCCCACACTCGGCAGTCTGGGCCCACAGACCCCATGGATCTGCCGTTTTGTGCAGGCCATTCCCAGTCCGGTCCCTCATTCAGACGGGCCTGGGCATGACGGCAACCTCTGCCCCCGAAGCAGCACTGCCCTCCTTGCCCAAACAACTTCCCTGGGCCTCTGCTTTCTCCAGTCTCAGCACAATCACATTTTCCCATTATATTAGCCAGCTCCAGGTCACCACCTCTCTCAAACTGAAAATTATTATAGATAGGCTGCACATACTTTATTTTTCTTTCTCTCTGTGTACCTTTCAGAAAGTAGAGATGTTTGATTTCTCTGCCTTCGCATGTCCATGGGCAGCCGGGGCACCGAGTGGGGCTGCAGTTACGATGCCCTTGCAGCTTCCTCCAGGTGGGCTGCTTCCTTCCCACGGTGCCTTTTATCCAGTCAGACCTAAACCCCAGATGGAAGCCAGTGCATGCCAGGCAGCAGGCAGTCCTCAGGAAGGAAGGAAGGGAGGCTGCCAGGCAGATGAGATATTTATGCCAAACTTAATTCAGCCCAACACGTCTTTATTGGACACTTACAGTCAAAGGAGGGAGGAAGGACAAGGAATGATCACTGAGCACCTACTATGTGCCAGGCCTCTCCTGGGGCTACACACCTCCACTCTAAGGTATTTTCCTCACTTTTCAAATGAGAGACCTGATATCACTACCACATGTGGTGTAGACAGGGATTTATCCCAAACTAAGCTCACAGCAAAGCATGCATACCAGCTGGAGAAATCTGCAATTCCTTCTGCAGACATGGAGTCAGCCAGCCGGAAGCACTGACAGGCCCCATCATAAGAATTCAGTTCCCAAAGCTCCAGACTTAGCTGGAAGTACAGCCACAGCCTCTAGTCAACAGCAAGAGTGGCTGGGGGTCACGGGTCTTGGCCTAGTGGCTCCTGAGGCCAAGATAAACCCTGTGGGGCTAGGACTGGGCTGCCTCCTCTCCTGTGGACCACTTGGGTCCAGTGTCCTGTTGATGATGTGAACCTGCTGTGCACACCACTCTCAGACCTGCCCACACTGGGCCAGCTCAGCTCCCGGGCCCCGTGCTCTGCGTCTGTCAATCTCTGCACCAGCCTGAGCTCCACCAGGAATGGACTGTCTGCAAACACCTGGCACAGAGTGAGTGTGTTTCATGCTCTGTGCCACGGCTATGTTCTCAACTCTCCCGGGTGTCCTCTCCCTACACCCCACCCCGCTTCTTGTCCAGTCTGGTAAACCTTCACTGAGAGCTGGCCATGCGGCCTCAGAGGTGATCTCATGGGATTAGTGGGCAGTTGTGTTCAGGCCCTTCTTCTGAAGCCCTGAGGCTGGGACACCAAGGTCCTCGGTTTCCCAGCTCCTTCTTGAGAGGAAGATGGCACAGAATGGCTTCAGGCCTGGCCTTGGCCAGGGGCCTGCCCAGCAGGTAGGATGCTCCAACGAGCAGTATTGGCTCTGCCATGGGAAGCCACCTGGGGAAGCTGTCCAGGCACAACTCTGAGTTTCTTTATTATCAGTGGATATTGGATATTGGTAACCCCCAGGAAAGTTTGAAATGGATGGGGTTAGCTAACACCTGCCCCCGACAGTCTTGTTACTAGGTTACATTGAAAGCATGTGTAAGACCAAGCTCTGTTGCAAAGTCAGACATTAAATAATCATTTGCTAGGAAAGATGGCACAAATGTTCCATACAATCTACATAACAGGTTGTATGACAACCTGAGGAAAATACAGGTCTTTCCTTCCAGGGACCACAAATATTCACTGCATGAAAGGCCCAGGAGGCAAACACCAGGATTCCAGGGCCAGGGATCCGTTTATGTACAGCTAACAGAGTCCAGAGCTCACTGCAGGATGTGGGACCCTTAGGGGTCAGCCAGCGGAATCCCTAAGCGGCCTTGATGGGCTTCAAGCCTAGCATCAAAGGCAGTGTTTCCAAAGTCAGGCACATGTTTGAATACTTTTATCAAAAAGAGCTATTTATCAAACTGGTAATCAAGTCACTAGTCTGACCAATATGACTTCATCTCTGACATCAGGACATCAACCAGCCCCTCCTCCCCTGGGGTGAGGAAAAGCAGAAACAAGTGTTTGCAGTAGCTGCCTCTGGATTTTAGCTCCCTGGGTACAGGGTTGAGACTCGTTATCCTCCTGCCAAAAGCATAAAATCTCTAAAAGCAGAAAGATTAAGGAACACATTTTAACGGAAACCTTACATGAACCATTTACAGCCTTACTAATCTAACTTCACCTGAATATTCATGTTTCATGGCAAAATTTTAATATATTTAAACAAGGTGCTGCCTCAGACCCCACCAGGGGTACATAATACCTACTGCATGCACCTTACCTTTCTAAAATCCAGAAAATTGAATTTTTTAAAAAATTCCCCCCATTCTGATAAGAGATTAGAGGCCTGAAGCACAGGGTAACCCCTAGACCTGCTGAGTGGGGGGAGGGGGGGAGGCATGTGCAGCCTCTGGTATTTAGCCCTCCACCCCTCCTTAACCGAGCACCCAGGGCCAAGGGGTCCCACCTGGAACCATCCCAAACTGCTTCCTCCTGCAGATTTGCCAGTGAAACCCTGACCTCAGGAGTGCTGAGGGTGGGAGGAAGGAAGGGTGCATGCTAGTCGGTCTACAGCACTTACACCCTTCACCCAAGGCATTATCTCCACCCAGCTCCTTCCACCAGAACTGAGAGGACAGACTGGGGTCTGGCCTCAAACCGTTTCCCGATTCCTATCAGCAGAGCAGCAGACATCTGTAGGGGATATGAGCTCTAAAATAACAGAGCCCCAGGAACACCTCAAAAACAAAGCCAGAATCCGGCAGACACATACCAACTAGGGCTGAAAGAGAAGTGGTCCCAGAATTTGATGCATGGAAGGAGCAAAGGGAAAATGTTAGCTATATGAAACAAGGAAGGGGATTTTAAAATAATAATGATAAGAAGCAGATAGAAGGATTAAGTATGAATGATAAAATGGGTGAAGGAGGGAAAATGGTAAAGAATAGAGACTAAAAACTATGATGAATCTGCTTCAGAATAAAATTGTAAATTGGACGACAGATTGAGGAATTTTTTTCCAGGAGGCAACAGGGAATTATTAAGAGGCAGAAAATATCAAATCTTGCAAGGCTTCTACTTTACTTTTTCAAGTATAAATTTAATTGCCAGGTTCCCTGATATTAAACCATCCTTGTCTTCCTGGGATAAATGTTATTTGGCATGCTGTATTTCTCTTTTAAAACTATGAAATAGATCAATAACATCCTTTTTTAAATATTATCCATTGTTCTTTTAATGAAAATTTTACTAGCCTCATAAAAATAATTGGATAACTTTTCCTCTTTTTCTTTTCTCTGGAAAACAGTGTAGATTATAATTTCCTTAAACCCTCATCTGTAAAAATATATAGCATTGGTAATCCTGCTAATCATATATACCTGTGTGTTAACAGTGAGTCTCTCCACCCACATCCTAATTTATTCTCTCAGCTGTGTTCTTAACCAGAGAACCCCCATCCTTCTTTCCTTCCTTTTTCCCTTCCCACCATCGCACAACATCTCAAATATCCCAGCAGGCCTTTCCCACATTGTGTCATTCAACATCCCAGCACAAAACAGATGACACATTCAAATTAGGAGAATTTCAGGAGAGTTTAACAAAAGGTCTACTTACAGAGCTGAAGGCAGAGCATGGGCAGACCACAGGGACAGGGCACTGGTCTCAGCCTGCAGGGATTAGGGGTCTGGAAGAAGAGAGTCTTCCAGAAAAGGCTCTCTTGGCCTTCCTTCTCAAGATGCAGTCCAAACGAGGTGTGCCCCTGCAGAGAGAGTGAATAAACACCTGTTCCTACTTTCATTCCTCCCATGTCATACTAGGACTCCCATTGGCTGATGCTAACTGAACCTAATCTGTTCAGGCCAGCTTCCCAGGTCAGCAAGCAAATTGGAGAGCAAACCTGGGGACCAATACACATCATCCACCTACGGGACCTCCCCACATTGTTAAGGAAGAAAACGAGGTGGCTTATAACTTGACATGGATGACACTGACATCTTGATGTCATAACTTGACATTGATGCTGTGCAGGGCAGGAGACATTTGACGATAAGTACGTGCACAGATAATGAGTCTTATTCATTTGGTTCTGGAAGCTCCTGAGGAGCAAAGAGTGTTTTGCTCATCTTGCTATCACAGGACCCGGCACCTGCATAGGACGGGATATGGCATGTGCTCAGTAAATCAGAGACGAACAGCAGAGTGAAGATACAGTGTGAGCTTGTTGAGTCACATGACCGTTCAGGTACAGCTTTGCTTTATTTTGTTTAGAATGAGCACTTGGACTAGATGATTTTTAAGTTCCGTGAGAACACTGGTCATCCTTGTGATGACTCAAAGATTGTCTCATTCTTGAAAATGCCCGTTGCTGTTATTCAGGCTCTGGGGATTCCGGTTTGCCTACAAAAACTAACAGGAACTGGAGGCTCTGGGCAAAGTTAACAAATGAGCCCAGAACCTCCAGCGCCTAACACCCTCCCTGCTGAATAGCTCATTCATGTCTTTGTTAATTCATAGCTCCCATATCCCATCTGCCCATGGCCAACTTTCCAGCTATTCATAAAAGCACAGCTGCCCCTGCCGCATGAGGACATTGGTTTCTCAAGAAGCCCAGCATATTATATGAGGGAGAGACCCTCAGATTCATCTCATCTGATTCTTTATGAGTTTACAAAAAATGTTCTGTGTACACACCTAACATAGAAGAAGAAACTAACGTTTACTAAGCACCTGCTCTGTTGCCTTATTTAATCCCTGCAAAAACCCTTAGACCATAAGGAGAACAAGGGATATATATGCCCACTTTAGATGGGGCCCTAAGCATACAAGTCAATGTCAGTGTACGCCAGAAAATGAGTGGCAGCGCCAGAGGGAAGGCCCAGCTTCCCTGATCCCAATCTAGCATTGTTTCTGGGAATGTTTGTTGAAAAAATACTATATTCAGGTTTCACACAATCTGGTCCAATTTTAGTGCACTTAGCTGCCTACATGACCTGCGGACAGCTCACAGACCTCTGCTCCTGCTGCTTGATGGTGAAGAAAATCTACAGCACATGCTATAATAGTGTTACTAATAAATGACTACTAATATTTTAATTTAATTTAATAGCAATAACAATATTAGGTGCTAATATTTTGGCAAGTTCCTCTGTGCCTTGGGTAGGTTAAACTATATGTGGTGCCGAGAGACGGGGTCAAGTATCAGGTGGAGGAGGGAGGACCCAAGAAAGATCTCAAAGCCTTCAGCACGACAAACCTGGACAGTGGCGTCACTGGGGGCACCAGAGAAAGATGTCAGTCCTCATCATTCATCCGACTTTCAGTGGATATTAGTCAGGCACCCGCTGTGTTCCAACAGCTCTCAATCCAAGAGGTGGAGGCATGTGACCCCTTCCCTCTGAGAGCTTCTGTTAAATAAGCAGGATTTTGCAAAACAAGTTGAGAAGTATTTCAGCAGACTGGTTAATCCAAACATTGGAAGCACCTAAGACTCTCTTGGGCAGCTTTTTAAAGTAAATCATCCCCAGGGTTCATCCCACACTATTTGAGTCAGAATCTCTAGAGGTGGGACCTGGGAGCCATCATTTCCTCAGAGCTCCCCAGATGACATTACTGTTCTGCCCACATGGAGAGGAGCTTCCACAGAAGCAGGCACAGGGCGCCAGGCGTTCCTGAAGGGGTTCCCAACAGGGCCAAAGAGGAGTGCAGGCAGCTGGGAGGAAGCGATGGGGAGCTGGAGATCCGCAGTAGAAGCTGGTCTGGCACAGGGTGGCCGAGAGGATGGAGGGAATGCCCAGGGAATCTTTTAAGGGAAACTTGAAGCTCTGGAATAATATTAAATTCTATTTTAATTTGGCTACTTGCTCTCTTCTCCACACTATCCCCACCCCAGTGTCCCTGAGAGGCACACTGAACACTTTGGAGGGGAAGTCACTCCTCACTCAACCTGTGAAATCCTCTCTTGACAGCTTCCTTGTAGCCCTGTGGAGAGTGGCTGAGAGCCAGAAGGGACTTCAGATTCACTAGAACATTCCAATCCTTGTCCTTAAGTATGACTTATCAGAGGAATGCGGAGCCTGAGGGGAGCAGGAAGGGAAGTCAGCTACTCAGATGGGACTCACCGGTCAGATTTCAGCTCAAACACCTTGTCCTCTGAGAAGCTCTCCCTGATTTACAAGATGGAATTAGTTCTTGTGACCTGCACTCTTTTGCAGGATTCGTCACATTTGCAAATATCTGGTCAACATCGGCCTTCCCTGAGAGTGGGTAGGCCATGCAAGCAGAGATCCACGTATGTTGTCATAATCTAAGAAGTTACTTTCATGTCCAGCATACAGCTGATGCTCAATGAATCATTATTGGGTAAATAAGTGGGTGGATTCATGAATAAATAGATTGATGGATGTGGACTAGATAAGTGAATAGAGCAGTAAAACGTGTAGGACTCTTTTCTCCTTGAGATACCTAACTCAGATGCTGACATCAAGCACCCAGGAGAGGAGGATACGATCACCAGTTTACCGCTCCTTGGTCCTTATTAACCTCCCGGCTAATGCAGGCTTGGACAGCTGCAGGCAGGCGGGGATTCCTTTGCACCTTCAGCAGATTACATAAAGGCCCTGAGCCTCTATTTCCTGCCTTGTTAATTGAAAATAACACCCACCTTATAGAGATTCTCTAGGGAAAAAAAAAAAAGCACCAGTGAGACAGCTGGCTACTCAGCCGAAACACAGGGAGGAGAGATTTCCTCCTCCTTCCCTCTAGCTCTCTCCTTGCTGCTAGTCCTCTGCTCAGTCTCTGCACCACAATGTCTGGATTTGAGGAGATCAACATAAAGTGCTCGTCCTCCTGTGAGCTCAGAGGAAATAAATTAAGATAAAAATAACAGTTTAATTACCGATCAACCTGTATCAGAGGAGGCAGCTTAGGTGTGTGGCCACATTGGGGTTGCTAACCAGGCGCAGCTATTCGTCTGCACCGGCACTGACAAACCGCCTCCCGACTCCAGTGCATGGCGTGAACTGTCCGAGGTGTTTCTGGCCCTGAGGGAGGATTATATTTTCCTGACCCTTTAATTTCAATCTTGGTCATGTGACTTTTTGGATGAATGAAAATATAAGTCAAAGTGGTAAGTAAAACTAAGTAGAAGTTTGAATGCCAGTGGGGCTTTGCCACCAGACCAGGGTACAAGTCAGTGCAGACTGCCATGACAAAATACCAAGATGGGGTGGCTGCACGAACATAAATTTATTTTCTCACAGTTCTCAAGGCTGGAAGTCCTTGACCAAGGTGCCAGCATGGCTGAGTTCTGGTGAGCACTCTCTTCCTGGCCTGAGAACACCACCTTCTCACTGCGTGGCAGGAAAGGACAGAGAGAGAAAGGCACTAACCTCATTATGACCTCCCTCATGACCTCATACAAACCTAATTATCTCTGAAATACCATCACACTAAGGGTTAGGGCTTTAGTTTATGAATTCAGTCCAGAGCAACTACCAATGGTCCAGAAAGAGGCTTTCCATAAGCCTGGAGCCAGGAGTGAGGGTCTGTGGAACAGAGACAGAGCTGACTCATGATGGGCAAGTGTGTCACTACTTGTAAGAGGAGAAGCCCCCAGAAGCCTCAGGGCCACTTGTCACCACAGCATGCCCTGGCCCATCCTGTCCAAAATGCCACCCTACTCGGTAACATGATGAACTTGCTCTATGGACGAATACAACAGTCACCCTCTCTCTGGACAGATTTGAAAGAGGGAAGAGAAAAAATGGTGTTGGACATACTGTTTTTTTTCTCAAATTTACTAACCAGTTAAGTTACTTCTGCCTTAGTTTTGAATTGTTCATTTCGTATTTTCTCCTCTTGGGGAGAGGAGTAAAAATTCCCTTCCTACAATGGAAGCATATTCAGTGGCAGCTAACCAATTTTCACACAGGTCTGATCAGTACAGGATATTGTTACTAGGCACAGGACTGAGAATGAGATTTTTAAACAGCCACTAAAACACACTCCAATGTGGTCCCCAGAGTTTACAGGGGTCTACACTATATCCTGTTCTATCCTCAGCATTGATTCCCAATGTCCCACTTCCATTCACTCCTTGGTGGACTCAACCATATGGTCCTTTAAAGGATGATACCAGGTCTAATTCAGATGCGTTCCTCACCCCACCTTCTAACCTTACAGCCAAGGTCTGCTCTTCCTATTAGAACATAATTGTTCCTTATGCCTTCACAAGTTGAGGTCTACCCCCAGCCCCCGTCCCCCTCTCTTTGTTATTCTCTGAAACAAACTCCAAGTCCTAGAGGGTGTCCACCCAGAACCCTGGGGCCACTGAGGAGGCATCCAACAGATGCCTTTGCTACAACCCTGCATTTCTGACAGTCCTGAGTCTCTCCTCATCTTTCTCCTTCCTGGCTAGGGATCCACTAGCTCACTGCCGCAGCTGCTCCTGCCAAATCCCATCCCCAGGGGGTGCATTTGGCTCTCGCGCTGCTAGTTTCAATCCTCCTGCCAAGAGCAGAGGAAGGTAAATGACACTTTGCACAGATGAAATAAAACCCAGCTACAGAAATCCTGCTGTATTTTTTCAGACCTAGATTTAAAAAATAGACAAGTCAAGAAAGATCTTATATAATATTTGGCCCAGCCTTCTAACTTCCCACATTGGGGAAAAAAAAGACTGAAAGAGTTTGTGGGATTTGGTCATGGTTATACAATGAGGAGAATCATGTCTCTTCCACATTGCCTTCAGAGCACTGATTAGAGCGCTGTACATCTCAGAGTCGTTCTCATAGTACACAGACAGAAGTGAATATTTAAATTCACCTCAGCAGTCAGCATACAGAACATGTCAGTTAATGAATATTTCCCTGTGTCAGTTCCAGCAGGAGAGCAGACAGAAACTTCCGTCATCATGTCTGCCGACTGCTTATAGGAAGTCTCTCTCTGTCTCTTCTCTCTCTTTCTTTCTTTCTCTCCTCCCATTGATTCTCTTGATTCTGTGTCTCTGGAGAACTCAAACTAATACAACATGTCAATTAATAAGGCAATAATGTAGCCTGACATCCCAGTTAATGAGCATCATTAGCCGATACCCTCCTCACCTCCATCCCTATCATCTCTGTCAAACTTCAGATCTTCATTTTCTCTCCTCTGGATGATTTGAACTGCTGATTAATGGTCTTCCTGCTTCCTTTCCTACCCTTTTCTAACCTATCTTCCTCATTGTTATAAAACTCATTTGTCCAGAAGTCCATCTGCCTAACTTTATCTCCTAAAAAACCTGTGAGTAATAATAATAATAATAATACAGCCACACCAGGTTAAAGGTGTAAGATGAATTCTAGCCGGAATAAGCAGGCAGAGAGAGGCAACAAAGGGCCAGGTAATTCATTTAAATCCCCCCGGGTGAGGTTCTCGTGGCCTGGGTACTACAAGCAGGAGAAGTCACGCCGGGTCAGGGAGGTGGGGGCTTAGGAGGGGGAGGAGTGGGCAAGCTGTCCTAGGGGGCGTGGAGAGGTATGATTGGCTAAAGGTGACATAATAGACAACTAGAAACTTTTTTCCTTCCAAGAGGGAGGAGGCTGACATCTGGGTCTTAGTTGGCACATCAGGATGGAATTCAGGGAGAGCCGTCCCCTTTCCATATAAGGCATGGACCTTGGGGTCTGGTCTGTTCTCCCCCTCTGGCATCTCTCTGTTCTGTTTGCATGTCCTTGTTTTTCCTTCCTCCAGCCTAACAAAAGGCACAATGCTAGCTGCTTTATACAACCCAACTTCTTACATTCTCCCAACAATCCTATGAAGGAGATGCTTTAATTATTCCCATTTTGTGGATGCAGAAATAAAGACAGAGAGTTAAGTGACTAGACCACCATCACATGGCGGTAGAACAAGGATTCAGACCCTGTAGCAGTGCCTGAGGTTGTGCCTTAACCTCCACGCCATAGTACACCTCACTTCCCTGCACCATCAGGAGAGACCCATGCTCTTTAGCCCCCAGGCCTCCGAGACCTTCCTTTAGGGCTGCCACACCGAACAAGTCCTCACACACCACTCGCAGCCGTGCACTGTGCCAGCCCCTTGAACTCTCATGACTTGTCTTTTAAACATATTTCATGTTCCATCCTCGTGCAATGACTTAAGATTCCCAAATATACCACACAGATTCTAACAGGCATCTGGGCTGTCCTTCCCCCAGGCCCCTTTCAGTCTCTGCTCATCTCACCTCTTTTGAAAGATCCTCAGGCAGCAGGCGCAGTCTCCACATGCCCAGAGAAGCTCGAGGTCTCTCTGTCATGAAGTGGAAGGATGTATTTCATGCTTCTGCCCCTCTCAGGCACATAGCTGTGCACAGGAGCTTGCAGACCTTAAAAAACACTAACTGGATCAACTGAGTGACTGAATGAGTTCTGAAGGCTTCTTGAAACCGAGAGAGTGTTAGAGATTCCAGAAGATTAACAAGAACCACAGGGGCGAGGCTGACCTAATTCTCAGATAGGAGCAGAACAATGTCCTCAGAAGTACTCTGCTCCTGGTTGGTTAAAGCCCTTAATTACACCATTAGTATTTGACTTTTAGCTTGAACTCACAGTCAAGTCAAGAAGCAAGGCCTCCTGAGAGAGGTTACACCAAAGCTGTAATCATTCAGCCGGGGATCTGAGAAAAACAGCCCAGCGTGGATGGAGTCTATGAAGAGGAGAAGGGGACAGAGCGGGGAGGCAGGGACGCTGGGTTTCTGAGTCACTTTTCTGGGCTTGTCAGGTAACGAGTAGGTAAACACCCCCCCCCACCACCAGTTCCAATGACTCTGTGATGCCTTTGCTTCTCACACACACCTCTCCTCTACACCTTGTCACCCAGACACCTAAATCGAGCCAATGGAGTCACACTGTGTGTGTGTGTGAGGCCCAGAGACACCATGGAATGACCGCTGACCTAGAGTCCAACTCCAACATACGCCCTGGCTTTCCATTTCAGGGCTGTGTGTGTGTGTGTGTCCCGGGGCTGTGCTTTAATTGTCACACGTCCCACTCTTCCCTGCTCAGGATTTCACGTCTGTTTCTAGTCCCCTCAGCTCTGTGAAGGCCGTAGGGCTGTCATCATTTTACACGAGAGGAGACAGGGGCCCAGGGCTGACCATGGGACCCGGCCAAGGCCGCAGGCCCAGCAGGGGATGGACGGAGACCGCAGCACAGGGTGGCTCGCTGGGCCCCCTGCTGGGCTGGACATCTCTCAGCCCTGCTTAGTTTGATCATTTGTAAAAGAAGTAAAAGGAAGGGGCTGGAATGGTTGCCTCTCCACCTCCCTCATTTTATGACTTGATATTCAGTTGCAATTGGGGCAGGTTCAAAATCACTTCAGAGACCAAGCATCTGCCAAATCGTGATCAGATCGGCTGCCCGGCCTGAGGTCTGATGAACAGCACCGCGTCCATGGCTCGGCCCTGCTTGGCACCGGCCATGGCGCCATTCCCAGGGGTCCTGGAGCCGGTCCGGGGCCTGGCCCCGTGTCACTTCATTCCCCACGCCCCTGCGGTAGTACACCAGCCTTGGAAACACATCAGCGTGCTCCTTTCTGCTGCCATCAAGACCTCAGCTCACACTGCGACTCAATCGCTGTGATTTATTTTAATTGGAACGTCTACCGGCCACCTTTTGCCAGAGCATCTGGCCATCTCCTGTTTGATTTCCTTCTAGAAAACGTCCGCTCGCCTACAATGATTGAACAGGCCAGTGCGGGGGAGGGTTGAGGTGTGGAAGGCCATCTGACCTACCCTGACGTGTAAGAAGACCCTCAAATTTAGATTTTAAACTTTTTTCCAAATGACAATAGATGGAGTTACATGGACTTTTGTAGCAGTTTTAGGATCAGTTATTCATAATAAGTAGAAATGCATAGTTCTCCCCATTTTAATATTTTTCTCCTTGTTAGTGAGCACATCAAACGAATGAGACAGGTCAGGGTGTTCTTAGCCCCTGAGAGTGTGGGGTGTCCGGGCTTCCTATCTGCCGTTCCTTCCCTGGGCCTTCAGATAAACAGCGGAGTTTCTCTTGCTCTCGGGTTCCTCCCCCGGAACACCGAGATAATCCTGCCTGCACGTGAATGGGTTTCGCTCACTTGTTCTTTTTACTCTTATTTTTTCTTTCTTTCTGTTCTTCATTCTTTGCAAACTTCTTTTTTTGGTGAGCACTGAGAAAGCCTCAGAATATATATTTTCGAATGAAAAAGAACCACGTAAAATCAAGAGATTTCTACTTTTAGGGGGAGGGGAAACAAACAGAAAACTGAGGAGGGAAAGTAGGGACAGGAGGCAAGAATGGGAAGAGGGATGAGGGCAAAGGGGAAGAGAGGACCTGCTGTGGTGAAGGCAGCATTCTTTCTTATTTTCCCAGTCTCCAGTTAATTCTCCGAAAACAGCCCATGATAAATGATTTCTTATTCCTTATTTTACTGATGAGGAAATCCAGGCTCAAAGAATTTGCAAAACATGTCCCAGGGAACTGGCTTGTGAGTAGAGTGGCCCTTCCCATTTCAGAGCCCAGGCTGTTTCTCCACATGGGAGTAACGGACACGTGGAGTGCCTGCTCTGGGGTGGCAAAGGGCTGCCTCCAGTGCACTGAGGGCACCGGGAGCGTGTCAGGGTCCCGGGGTGGGGCTGGGCAGGAAGGATGGGTCTGAAAACAGACACCCACATGTAATGCTGGTAGGAAGCAGGTTTGGTTGCCGCAGTTTCTAGGAAGACACAAAGGGAAAAAATTGCCTTTCTGGTAATTCATGAACTTACAGTATCACAGAAATGAAAGTCCAACTTCCACCCAGTGCAGGAATCCTTCCTGTAACCTCACAGATGAATGGACTACGATCCCTGGCTTGATTACCTGCAGCCAGTGAGAAGCTCAGTCCTCCCATGGCAGCACCCTCTGCAGGGCCATCCTTTTCTAGACCGAAGTGAGTCCTTCTGTGGTGGTAGCTGTGCCCTCTAAGCCTTGTCTCTGTTGGACATGAAGGGCCTCAAGATATAGGTTTGTGTCTCTTTTGAAGACTCCTATTCAGAGAAATAAAACTTGAGATAATCTCTTCTGTGGTGTGGCCATTTCCTGGCTGCTAAGCTGATATTCATGACCCACAGTACAGTAGATACACAGCAAGGACCTTCGATGCTTTTTTTGTCAGAAGACCTGCATGTCAGACCTTCCCTCCCTCACTTTCTTTTTATAATATTGATTGGATTTTCTTCTGATTAATGAATTAATACATATTAATTGTAGACAGCTTAGAAAATAATATACATAAACAGATCATTATTAGCTTCTAATTCTGAACCAGGTCCTGTGCTACGTACCCTCTATCATACGTTATCTCAGTGACAGCTCACGACAGCCCTGCAAGGTCATCTTTATTCCCATTTTAGAAAGAGACTCTGAGGATTTAAGTCATTTCCTCAAGGTCATGCCCATGAAAAGAGGATTCACATCCAAGTATCTTCCACAGAAGAAAGACGATGAGACCACTAATAACCTGGAGGAATTAGGCTAGTATATTTTAATATATTTTCCCTACATTAATTCAACCCATTGACATCCATACTTTTTTTCATCAAAGTAGGACCGTACTTTATGTACTGGGCAATGGTAGACATAAAGGACCATTTAGTGCAGATGCTGCCAAATTATTTAATCTTTTCTTTCTTGGTGATCATTGGGTAGTCCTCTACTAGTTTGCTAACATGAATAGTGCTGTGAAAATATTCTTGCAGGTAGATATTTGTGCAGTCTGCAAATGTTTTGCCTTAAATCCCTAAGAGTAGACTTGTCTTTTAAAAGTACCTGGAATGGATAACAATCCCCACAAAAGAGTACCATTGTACACTGTATGTCAGGTGAAAAGCCCAGAAAATGCTTCACCTCTTTCCCAATAATTTTCAGGAGACAGCAGCTTTAATTGACTCATGCCTTGTACCCCAGAGCCTCGAACATCTGGCATATATTAGGTGCTCAATAACTATTTGTTTGATGATGGGAGGAATGAATGAAGTGGAAGTAACTTCACGGAGCTTCCTTTAGGGGAAGCCTCTCGTGTTCCCTCAAGGTCTTAGGAAATTAACCGCCATATTTATGAAACAAACACAGCTTAGCTGACGCAGCGCTTGACCTGAGGATGCTTTGTCTCTCACTGCTGTCTGATCTCCTATCCCACTGGTGGTCCTAGTACATATAGGAAAAACCACAAGTTTTAGACCCCAAAAGACCTGGAATACAGCTCCACTTCTTTCATGAGCCAGGAGTACTAGTTTTGTGTAAACTAGTTACATAACCTGGAACAGGTAAGTTGGTCGACATCTGCAGATGGCAGTCCCTTAGCACCATACCTGGTTAGGATAGATGAACCTCTGGGCAAAATTCTCTAACATCATCTGAGTCAGTGAGAGCATAATTGGTTTGTTTTTAGAAGTAGAATTTGGATACAAAAGAGAAAGGAATCTGGAAATGCTCAGCAAGTGGATACTCTGATTTCCATTTTCATAGCACTTTGTGGTTTATATACAAGTTGTACACACATGGGTCATACAATAGCCTCATAAAATATGTTACTATTTCCATTTTACAGATTAGGAAAGTAATATCTAAAACTCATGATCTTACCTAACTGAAGATCCCATAGGCAGTGGGTGGCAGCATCTAAATCCTAAAGCCATGCCTGCTAAATTTGTCCCAGTGTTCCCTTCACTCCAGCACATCGCTGCCTGCCTCCCCCCCTCAGCTGATGATGTTCCCCCAGTTCCATATTTCCCGGAGGTCTCCAGTCAATATGAACATGCTCAGATCCACCAGGAAAAGATCCCAGGCCCCCTCTCCAAATGGCTGGCTTCTGCCATCTGCCTCAGGGACATACCGCAGAGGAGAAAGGAACAGGCTTGGTGTTGAGTATGTCCCCATCACTAGAAAGAGAAACAATTACTCACTGGGACCTGGCTTGAAAACATATCATTTCTCAGGTACATTGTAGCTCAGCTGTCAAACAGGAGTACTTTTCATCACCAGGAATCTGGGCCATTTTCAAACCAGTGACCTCAAGGTAAAAAGATTCAGCCAAGTAGCTCGTTAGCAAGCCAGAAAGCCTCTGAAGCCAGCCACTCTGCCGCGACTGGCCGCCCAAATGTGGAATACTTCAGGAGGAGGCGGCAATGGGTGCCATCTGTGGTGATGAATCTAACCGGTGTCATCTTTATTTCCCACAGGGCGCTCTGTGCATTCCAAGTGGGAAGCAGAGGTTTCCTTGCCTGGCCTTGGAATAAATCAAACACAGCAGCTGGGACTTTGGCTTTCATGAAAATGGTCCTATTTTAAAGCAAAGGATGCTTCCTTGATCATTCAGAGATGAGAAATGGCCAGTGACATTTTGAAGGGGCCAATCCTGGGCATGGCTGAGATGGTCTATGGACAGAGCCTCAGAACAAGGTGCCCAGCAAGGAGGCTGG